TTTCTTTCTTTCTTTCTTTTTCTTTCTTTCTTTCTTTCTTTCTTTCTTTCTTTCTTTCTTTCTTCCTTTCTTCCTTCCTTCCTTCCTTCCTTCCTTCCTTCCTTCCTTCCTTCCTTCCATCCTTCCTTCCTTCCTTCCTTCCTTCCATCCATCCATCTTCCTTTTCTGCACTTTCTTTCCTTCCTTTTTACTTTCTTTTTATGTTTTTTTCCCTCTTCCTTTTCAGATAATTTTGCAACTTTATTCATGTCTTTCCCATGTTTCTTCCTGTTACTCTTCCTTTCTTTGCTTATTATTTATTTGTCCTTTCTTTCTTTCTTTCCTGCTTCATTCCATCCATCTTCTTTCTTTCTTTCTTCCTTTCTTCCTTCCTTTTTTTCTCTCTTCCTTTTTTCTCTCTTTCTCTCCTCCTCCTTTTCTTACCTCCTTTCTTTCCCGCTTCCATTTTTTTCCTGCGAGCTGTCCACGGTTTTTCCTTTTCTGCATCCTATACTCCATTTTTCCCACTATTTATTTCCCACTTTCTTCCTTTTTTCCAAATTTTGTTTCCCTCTTCCTTTCTAGCTTCCTGTCTTTCCCAGTTTCTTCCTTTTAAGTTTGTTTTCTTTGCCGCTTTCTTTCCTAATTTGTTCGTCGCTTTCCTTGCCTTGATTGCTTGCATTCTTGCGTTTTTCCCCTCCTTCCTTCCTTCCTTGAAATGTGCAGTTTAGCCAGAAATAAATAACATTCCGGAATTCCCATTGGGAAGCTCAGGACTCACTGTCTAATTTGATTTCATTTATTTGATTCCGTTTTTTTGTCTTAATATTTTGTTTGTTGTTTTTGTCTTTAACCCCTTCAGTTGTGACCAAGCCACCATTTGACTCGGTGTGTGTGTGTGATAGAGTGTGTGTATGTGTGTGGTCTGGTCTGTTCCGGCAGGACCTTGTGAGTAGTTTCAGCAGCTACCCTAAGTTTAGCCACACTACTGGCCTGATTATTTACCCAGAGACTTCCTACTGTACTGCACACTCCCAGCCCTTCAACAAACACTTCATTATTGAAGACAAAAGCTTACAAGTAATTACTTTGGGGATGAGCACGAGCACCAGCTGCAGATATTACCTTCGTTTATTTATAACACTCTCAGCAGTTGCGTTCAGTGGTTTAATAGTAAAACCCCCATGTGGTTCATTCACATGTGCTCTCAGTAGCAGCACTAATGCACAGGCTCTGATCTGATCATAGTGTTGTTATTGTAACTTTAGGGTCACCGCTGATCTGAAGTACTGTAAGTGTGAGTTTTACTGCGGTTTTGAAAAGGAAATAGGAAGGCCTGAGAACGGATCTCAGACTCAAACAGAGGGGGGTAGGAGGATATACATAATCTGGAGGAAAGGGCCAGTTAACGGCTGTTTATATTTAACTGGCTGGAGACAGACAGCTGAGAGCGGGATCACTAGCCTGACTGGAGATAGTTTACCGCCAACCACTGCGTCAAAAAAATGTGCCTTGATTTAAAGGGACAGTCCACCAAAAAAAACTAACAAAAATAGCTTCTGTCATTATTTCCAAACAAGTATGCACTATAAAAATATTCATGACTAAATTTAGGATTAATACAATTGAATTGCATATGAAATTTCCATCTTGTTTGAAGTTGAAGCTTGAATGAACTTGTCATTGTTTCCAAACATGTATGCAAATAAATAAATAAAAATTACATTTAAATTAAATTAAATTAAAAAATAAAATGAATTTAGGCCTTAAATTAAATGTTTTTTTATTTATGAATTAAAAAAAAATATATGAATACTTAATTTTTTTAATAAGTATTCATGTGATAATTATGACTGTCTCTAAATATGCTGGCGTGTGTTTGTTTCTTGCAGGGATGATCACGGGTTTAGTCCGTTGCACTGGGCGTGCCGTGAGGGTCGTTCAGGTGTCGTGGACATGCTCATCATGAGAGGGGCACGCATCAATGTCATGAACCGCGGCGACGACACACCCCTGCACCTGGCTGCGAGTCACGGCCACCGTGACATTCTGGCCAAGGTGTGAACAGATCATAGCGGATAAACGCTCACAAACACACACACAACTGCAAACAGCAGTTATAAATACTCGCACACACAAACTTTAAACACTCAAGAAGGAATAAGGAACTGACAATGTCTATTTTTATACCTTTTAATTCTAAAAAACTGATTTTGAATGGATGTTTTTGTTTGCTGTTTTGGATACTAAATGTTGTGGTTTGTGTTGTCTAGCTGATCCAGTGTAAAGCAGATACCAATGCGGCAAACGAGCACGGCAACACCCCTCTCCATTACGCCTGCTTCTGGGCCCACGACCTGGTGGCAGAGGTTAGTTTGAAGCGCCCTCTGCTGGGAAAAATGAGAAATTCTGGATTGTGTGAACGCTGTTTTCCATGCAGTTATAATATAATGAATGGGGACTAGAGCTTCCAAACACCATAACATTATCATATCGTGCAGTATATTTTTCTAAAGTCTTCTGAATCTATATGATAGTGTTGTGTGGGGAAAATACATAAATTGATTTTCTTTCTGTGCAGCAGAGATATTTTACCAAATGTCTTTACTGTAAACAAAAGATTGAATTTTGGTCTGTTCCTCACATAAAGCTTTAGTACATTATCAGAAGCCTTGGAATATAGCACAAGTCTTATTAATCACTTCCATGTCATTTTCATTTACATCATTTTTGAAGCTCCGTAGTTCCAGTTAATTTTTATTGCATCGATAACTGTGTTGTCATTATTAACTAAGAATAAAACTATTAAAATTGCTGAAATAACAAAATAAAATACAAATATTAGATCAAAAAATCATGCAAAGTCACATTACTTTTTTTGATGCGCATGGTGGAATTTATACGGTAAATGTGTTTCCATCGTTGTTTATGCGCATTTTTTCTTATTGGCAAAAAGTTTATCCTACTCAACTGTGCGCATACGTTTTTTTATGTGCATTTTTAGAATTTATGCGCATCTTGGCATTACCATCCAGCATAAAAATAGGTGGATGGAAACATAGCTGATGTCATTTTAATCATACCAGATATGTTATTCTCTCCAGGATCTGGTCAATAATGGTGCTCAGGTGAGCATCTGCAACAAGTATGGAGAAACTCCACTGGACAAGGCCAAACCACAGCTTGCCGCAAATCTGAAAGGTAAACTCTCTTCTTTAATAATGTAGCAAATGTGACGTCAGAAGAATATTTGTTGGAAAGGCTGTTTGTTAACATTGTGAAGCCTCAAAGATCTGTTTCTGTTATATGTTCCATCGGCCCTAATAATTCTGTTGTGTTTATGAATCAGAGCTGGCGGAGAAACAGGGACAAAGCCTGACCAAAGTTCCTTTCAAGGACACTTTCTGGAAGGGAACCACTCGAACGAGACCACGTAAGCACCCTCAGAACATCTGATTCTCATTTAAATTCATAACGTAGATGCTTTGGCAAACAAGCATTTGATTGTAATTCAGCATAACTGTAGATTGCCTTATAAAATTATATGAATTATCCACAACCGAGGTTTGATTGTTGTATATTTTTCCCATGATGCCTTCAGGTAACGGCACACTAAACAAACAAGCTGGAATAGATTATAAGCAGCTCTCCATGCTGGCCAAGATCAACGAGAACCACTCTGGGGAGGTGAGCTCATTTACCAAACCACAATAGCTACCCATGTCTCAGAGCGTTTATGGAAGCACTGATGTCTCTGCTCTCTCTCTCTGGCAGCTGTGGCAAGGCCGCTGGCAGGGCACAGAGATTGTGGTCAAGATGCTTCATGTGCGGGATTGGACTACAAGAAAGAGCCGTGACTTTAATGAGGAGTACCCTAAACTAAGGTGATGAACCTCCAGTCCAGTGTGCCCAGAATACACAGATTAAAGGGGCAGTTTGCCCAAAAATGAATGCTGTTATCGTGTATTCACCTCACGTCGTTCCAAATCAGGGTTATTATAGTTAAATAGTTTAGTTTAGTTCATTTATTTACCAGGGACCATGCATTTTTAATATTTAATAATTGTGCAATGATGATAACTCCTTGACTTCTTAGATAAAAATGACACAGCTTGTTTATAAATACTATATAATGGTTTTAACGTGGTTATACTTGTTTGGGACACACTTGTAGCACAATAGGATAAATGTGGGAGAATTATTGTATGCATAAAGTGCACAGGTATAGGTAATTGGTACCTAATATTCCTGTAGATTATCAAGCTTTCTCTAGCACTTCCATAATCATACCAAAATATTTAAAATGCTCAACAATATTTATTACCTCTCTTTTGACTAAAATATCTGGACAACGCTCATCAACTCTCTTAATCGAAAAATACATTCCCACAGTTTTACTCATTAAGAATAAGGCAAGAGTGACATAGCCAATCTGAAACTTTGTTTAGTCCAGCAGTAAGTTTGATAGCAGCTTGTTTTTTGTCTTAGCATAAGTATAAACAACTGTATCATCTGCATACATCTGAACCTGGACCTCTGGACAAACTGTAGGCAGATCATTAATATATAGACTAAACAAAATTGGTCCAAGAATCGATCCTTGTGGGACTCCAATTAGGGCTGGACAATAATTCAATATCAATATGTATCGCGATATAATTTTTTTCAATAATGGTGATATGATTTCCAATATTTCGATATACATTACCAGAGTTTCCCATACGTTGATTTATTTGTGGCGTTTGACTTCGTCGGATAAACATGAGCACTGCACGTTTCAAAATCATAACATGGCGCGGGTGTTTTATATGAATGTATCTCTGAAGGAAACCGACTGTATTCAGAAAAATTTAGATGGCATTTTCATTTGATCTGATAAAGTAGCGGTCATGAGCGGAGCTGCTTTGATTACAGCCATTACTGGGGAAACCGCTAGTTCTATCACTCTAAAAGCGCCTCCTGTTGGCAGAGAATGAGTTTGCATTTTCAATAAGCCCGTCTCCAGCAACATTTCCAGTTTTTGTTGTTGTTCAATTTTTTTGTTTTCTGCAGTGACTCTGAGCACTTTTCATACCCTTTTTTCTGGCTGAAGCACATTTGTTTCAATCTATAAGAATAATCAGCCTACACTACCAGTCAAAAGTTTTTGAACAGTAAGTCATACATAGCTAAATTTTCAGCATCATTACTCCAGTCTTCAGTGTCACATGATCCTTCAGAAATCATTCTAATATGCTGATTTGCTGATTATCAATATTTAAAACAGTTGAGTAAATTTTTTTTTTCAGGATTCTTTTGTGAATAGAAAGATCCAAAGATCAGGATTTATCTGAAATGAAAAGCTTTTGTAACATTATACACTATTCCATTCAGTATAATTTTTATTATTTTTTTGGGAAAAGAAATTATAGAAATTAATACTTTTATTTAGAAAGTATGCTTAAAATTGATCAAAAGTGATGATAAAGGCATTTATAATGTTACAAAATAATTCTATTTCAGATAAATAGTGTTCATATCGATATCAGAATTATATTGTATTGACCGAAATTAAGAAATATATTGTGATATAAATTTTGGCCATATCGTCCAGCCCTAACTCCAGTATTACAGTCAAGAAATGGTGAGCATGCATCAATAATTCTTCTACATTGTTTCCTTAAATTTAAGTATGATTCCATCCGTGTTAACGTATTAGTAGAAAAATTAAACTGACAATTTAGATAAAAGAATATTATGATTAACGGCATCAAAAGCCTTTTTAAAATCAAGGAAGACAGCACCAACAACACCTCCCCTATCAAGACTGGATTTAATTTGTTCAACAAAATAACAGTTTTCTGTCTCTGTATAGTGATGTGCCCTAAATCAAGACTGAACTTATTAACTTAATGTATTTCAGCTAGCTGTATAAGAAACCTTTCTCATTTTCATTTTAACTTGATGTACTGAAAAAAAAACATTAAAATCTATAGACGTATATAAAAAAAACTAATAAAAGTGACTCAAGTTAACTAAAATGGAAATAAAAATGGAAAATATAAAGATGAAAATTAATTAAAAATAGTAATAAAAACTATAATAGTAGTTTTGTTTAATTACACTGATACTAAAATAACACTGTTCCAAATCTGTATGGCTTACTATCTTCTGTGAAACAAAAGGAGAAATTTGAAGAAGGCCCTAGTCACACATGAATGGAGACTGAAGCTTTCAAGCTTCAAAAAGGACATAAAAGCATCATAAAAAAAATCCATATGACTTGTGAGCTATATTCATAGTCTTCTGGAGTCATATAATAGCTTTGTGTGACGATACACAATTTAAGTCACCATTGACTGATAATCTTCTGCAACTGTATAATACATTTTTCGAGCCCGAAAGGGGAACAGAGTCGTGTGACAGACACAGTGATGAAGCTGGTCTCTCTCTCTCTCTCACACACACGCGCACGCATGCACACACGCACACACACACGATGCGCAAAACTCCGCATTTGAACAGTCAATAGCAAATACTTAAACTAATAACAAAACAGTAGCTGATTCAGAAGCGCCAGATTGTCATAGCAAAGTCAGAATTACCTCCTCTCCTAGGTTCACGAAATGGTCGTCCATAAAATGCATTGCTGTTCTGTTGTAAGTAATCTTAAAGATTCCTAAATGCATCTACTTTCGGAAGGCCAAATAAAGTGCTTTTGCTTTCGCCTAGAAACACACAGCGTCTCCCTGACATGGCTGCTTCAACACTAACTGCGGTTACTGAAACCACGCCTTCTTTCTTTGCGTGCACATTTGGGCAGCATTATGCTAATATTTCCACATAGTGAGGTAGATATGTGGGGGCGTGTTTGAACGAGCCGTTTTAGGGGGGCGTGGCAGAGTCTTAACTTTGATAAAGAATATCTCTTTGGTTTTGAGACTTTAGTCTTTGCAACTTCAGGGATCTTATCTATGCACAATCAGCTTGTAACACTCCAAAGAGAAAGGAAAACTTGAAATCGCATCATATGACCCCTTTAAGATGTGTAGTTACAAGCTGAGCACTAGATTCATTTCCACACAATTTAGATACTCAGGGTTAACCGGTGATTGCGAAATACACTTTCACTGTTTGTTTATTTGCTGTCATGGTATGTGGAACTGATTCAGTGAAACTTGCACTCCAGAAATGTAGTCTCGGTAGATGGACCACTATGAACAGGAACTTTTATAAATGGTCTCAGTTCTCTGTGAAGTATCTGTGCATCCCACCACAAGTTCAGAGTTTCACATTGTGAAGTAATGCAGTGAAAGTACATTCTTTGGTAGTGGATTTCTCAATGCCTCTTAAGATTTTGGAGTAACAAACAACAGTGGTCTGTAATGTCCTTATGGAATGTCAGTAAGTATCAGTTTAAAGCACAATAGTAAAGCCAAGCCTCAACCAAACAACTTCTCTAACTACTAATAGCTGTACTGGTCACATTACTCACAATCAACTGTCTGAGGCAGCAAAAACCTGAGCTTACCCTAACTGACTGTTTCATGCTCACACATCCTAATGAATCTGTTCTCATTGATTCATTGACATCAGATTGATGAAGACATGACGGCCAGGATAAGCATGGCAGATGTTAAGTTCTCCTTTCAGTGTCCTGGCAGGATGTACTCTCCTGCATGGGTGGCACCTGAAGGTACTGTTCCTTTCTTCATTCACTGAATTCTTAATTTCAAACTTCTCAAGAAGATTTAATTTTTTCCACTTTATTTGTCTAAGATATGGTCACATTAGCGAAATTTCTACAAATTGTCTCAGGCAAAAAAGTTTCAGTGTCTATTATCAGTAGTGAACCAATATATGAAGCACAGCTCACACAAAAGTCACATTCAAACCAAGCAGCTTTCTGTTGGGCAATGCAGCAAATCTGCATGACCAGTGTGAACCCATTGTGAAATCTGCATGGAGAAATCTTTCTTCACAGTTGCGTGAATTCCTTTTGAAATGACTGGATTTTACCTGCAGAAATTTGCAGAACAGTGGTAGATGTGACCGCACCTTAAATTTTGATTCACTGATATCTTATCATCTCTTCTCAGCCCTGCAGAAGAAGCCAGAGGAGATTAACCGGCGCTCTGCAGACATGTGGAGTTTTGCAGTGTTGCTCTGGGAGCTTGTCACCAGAGAGGTGCCCTTCGCTGACCTCTCAAACATGGAAATTGGCATGAAGGTGAGATGATTCTATGACTTTGGAAAGCAAGAGCTGAACCAAAAATTGAGGGGTGCTTGGGGTAAAAATGCAGCCAAAATAAACAAAAATGCCCCCCAAATGCAAGATATGGTGAAAAAAATGCCTCCGCACAGTTAAACTAAAAGTAATACGACTATTGCCATTCTTGTGAGAGCGCTGAACTCATGTGAACTTGCAGTTACCTCATTGAGCACTTCAGCCATAGGGAACATTCTTTGCATGTAATGAATTCCTTTAACCAACATTACTAATCATCATTACAACATTAAGGGCAGTAATTGACAATTTTTTTAATAATATTTCAGCCTTTCACTACTATTCTGATTGACTGAGTGATTGACATTGATTGATTGATTGAAATATTTGACAAAGGTTAAAATGCACCAGGAAATCACTTTTAGGGGGCAAATTCTGACCCTTAAAGTAATAGTTCACCCAAAATTAAAATTTGTTGAAAACATATTAACCCTCGATGCATCCAAGATGTAGATGAGTTTGTTTCTTCATTGGAACAGACTTGGATAAATTTAGCATTATATCACTTGCTCACCAGTGGGTCCTCTGCAGTGAATGGGTGCTGTCAGAATGAGAGTCCAAACAGCTGATAAAAACATCAAAATAATCCTCAAGTAATCCACATGACTCCAGTCCATCAGTTAATGTCTTCTGAAGGGAAAAGCTGCATGTTTGTAAGAAACAAAACCACTGAGACGTTTTTCCACTTCAAATGAGTCAATAATATTGTTTTCTCCAGTGAAAAAGTGGCCTCGTCTGAATCAGGAGAGAAATATGATCAAACGCTATCTAGAAGTGAAAAGAGTCAAAAACATTTCTAAACAAAGGTAAAAAAATATGTGCATTTTGATGTGAGATGATAACAGGGGATAGACTATTTTTACTAGAGGAAGTGTTTTTATTGATTATGGACTATTTTGGCAAGAAATTACAAAGAAATGCTTTAATTATGAATTTGTTTTAAACATGCAGCTTTTCAGTTTGTAAGACATTAATTGATGGACTGGAGTCATGTAGATTACTTGTAGATTATTATGACATTTTTATCAGCTGTTTGGGCTCTCATTCTGACGGCACCCATTCACTGCAGAGGATCCATTGGCGAGCAAGTGATGTAATGCTAAATTTCTCCAAATTTGTTCAGATAAAGAAACAAACTCATTCCTTTCTTGGAAAAAAATAATTTCTGACCCTGGCTATTCCTTCTCTCTTCATTAGGTGGCACTAGAGGGACTGCGGCCAACCATCCCACCGGGCATTTCCCCCCACATCTGCAAGCTAATGAAAATCTGCATGAACGAGGATCCTGCCAAGAGGCCCAAATTCGACATGATCGTGCCCATCCTAGAGAAGATGCAAGACAAATGAAACAGCCCTG